CATCACCACTGTCTCCAGACCAGTTGCTCCCAACATCACCACTGTCTTGTAAACTTTTCCTTTGACCATCCCGATGAGCTCTCCTGTTAGCTAACACGTAGCATGGTGAAAACAGCTACAAGTCGTGGGATTACTTCACTTACCGCCTTTGTTTGACGTCGTACGACCGTAAACTTCTGTGATAAATCCACAACATCAAATATTCCTCAGTATGAGATGAATACGCAGCATAAATCTTGAATACGCAGCATAAATCTTGAATACGCAGCATAAATCGTGAATACGCAGCATAAATCGTGAATACGCAGCATAAATCTTGAGTACGCATCATAAATCGTGAATACGCAGCATAAATAGTGAGTACGCAGCATAAATCTTGAGTACGCATCATAAATCGTGAATACGCAGCATAAATCTTGAGTACGCATCATAAATCGTGAATACGCAGCATAAATCGTGAATACGCAGCATAAATCTTGAGTACGCAGCATAAATCTTGAGTACGCATCATAAATCTTGAGTACGCATCATAAATCTTGAATACGCAGCATAAATCGTGAATACGCAGCGTAAATCTTGAGTACGCAGCATAAATCTTGAGTACGCAGCATAAATCTTGAATACGCAGCATAAATCTTGAATACGCAGCATAAATCTTGAGTACGCAGCATAAATCTTGAGTACGCATCATAAATCTTGAGTACGCATCATAAATCTTGAGTACGCAGCATAAATCTTGAGTACGCATCATAAATCTTGAGTACGCATCATAAAACGTGAATACGCAGCATAAAACGTGAATACGCAGCATAAATCTTGAATACGCAGCATAAATCTTGAGTACGCATCATAAATCTTGAGTACGCAGCATAAATCTTGAGTACGCAGCATAAATCATGAATACGCAGCGTAAATCTTGAATACGCAGCATAAATCTTGAATACGCAGCGTAAATCTTGAATACGCAGCATAAATCTTGAATACGCAGCGTAAATCTTGAGTATGCAGCGTAAATCTTGAGTATGCAGCATAAATCTTGAGTACGCAGCATAAATCTTGAGTACGCAGCATAAATCATGAATGCGCAGCGTAAATCTTGAATACGCATCATAACTCTTGAAAAGTACTAGAAGACGAGGTGGTTTTAGCTACTTAGCTCTTTGGTACGTAGCGCTGAAACTCCAGAAGATGCTGATTGGCTGGAATGAAAGTTCATGTGTGATGTCATTGGTTGAAGTTTCCACCTCTTCATAAACTTCTGTTTTCACTTGACTGATCACATGACTCAGCTGTTTGACGGGGGGGCGTGTCCTCCACTCTGAACACGTTTTAGAAAGGTGGTGCTGCGCTCTTCTTGTGCACGGAGAACGTGCGAGCAGAGCGTGACTGCTCACGTGCAGCTTCGATGGAACAATGGTGAACAGTAATGGATTAATCTGAATTATGTAAGATTAACAAATAATTTTAAATTAATCTCATGCGCTAACGTTGACAGCTCTAGTGTTAGCTCCTGTTAGCTTTAGCTCCTGTTGTTGGTGGAGCTCGTCTTCAGCACCACCTTGTTCATGTGTGTGGTTCTGTTGACCTCAGGGAGGTTCGGTCACCTGGGCCTGGCCATCAACCTGATCACGTCGGAGGACCGCTTCAACCTGAAGTCCATCGAGGAGCAGCTGGTCACCGACATCAAGCCCATCCCCGGCAGCATCGACAAGAGCCTCTACGTGGCCGAGTACCACTCGGCCGGCGGCGACTGCGAGGTGGAGGAGGTGGAGGAGAAACTCGAGCGCCACCTGGACAGCACCTAAAACCGGTGAGTCATCTGGTTCTTTTAGACCGGACCGGACCCGGACTAAAGAAGTCCTGACTGGTTTCTGTTGTCTCCTTCAGGGCGCCGCCACGCTGCCGGCTCCAACCTCCACCCCTCGTTTTCAGCGCCTGCCGGACCATCCAGAGGAAACTTTCAGATTTCCAGCTGTTCCTCGGGTTCTGTAAAATATTGTTTTGCACCAAACTCAACTGGACCCGGTTCTGTAGCTCGGCCCGGTGGGTCGATGGGACAGTTTTTATCTCCAGCAGGAGAGACGCTCCGGTTCTGACGTTCCACACGTCCACCAGCCTCGCTCCGCCCACTCACACTGCTGTCACTCAAGTGCCTTACTCAGCCCCACGTGCACTCGCTCAGCCACACGTGCACTCCCCCGTTCACGCCCCGCAGCAGCAGACGAGCACACACACGTTCCCGGCTGAGGCGTGTCCTCAGCCACCCTGAATGTGAAACGTTGCAATAAAATAAAAAATGGCAGCTTAGTTGAAAAACTGCGAGACTGTTTGTGTTTTCCCCTCCCACCATGAAGAGTAAACAACAACAACAACAACGTGAGAAGACGAGCGAGGCTGTGGGGTTCAGGGGCGGACGGAGTTGGGCCAACGTCACCCAACTGGGGAGGGGCTGATGATGACTGAGTCTTCAGTCCTCTGCAGCTGAAGTTTGTCCTCTGCAGCTGAAGTTGTCCTCTGCAGCTGAAGTTTGTCCTCTGCAGCTGAAGTTGTCCTCTGCAGCTGAAGTTTGTCCTCTGCAGCTGAAGATGAAAACGTCTCAAGCATTTAAAATCTGTCCAGATTTGGTGCAAAACAATATTTTGTTTGTCTGGCCCCGCCCACAGAGCGGTTGTTTACTTTTCGTGGGCGTGTTTAAAGTTAAAGTTTCTGCTGCCATGTTTGGAGTACGAAAACAAACAAACGTTTGTTTTAGTCTCTTTGTTAAAGAAAAACAAACAGAAGTTTTTTTTAAATTTTGATTCAACAGAATTATTTAAAAACTGGAAGTTGACTTGAAAGAGAGATGGTACCAGAACGTAACGATTTAATGTCCACCTGTCCTCAGGTGTTCTGTCCACTTGTCCTCAGGTGTCCAGGTCCAGTCCTGATCAAACTGCTCCAGCTGTCTCAGGTCTGAAGGTTCTTCTCCAGATGTTCAGCAGGGTTTAGATCAGGACTCTTGGGTCCAGGGTTTGGTTCTGGTCCAGTCCTGGTGTTTTGGGTCGTCTTGGAGGACCATGAGCTGAGACTGACACCGAGCAGAACATTTAATCCAGAAGGTCTTGATAGTCTTGAGGTTTCATTGGACCCTGCACAGATCCAGATGCAGCACAGCAGGACCAGAACAGAACTGGGCCTCCTCCATGTTCCACTGTAGGTTCTGGTTCTTTTGGGTCTGTGGACATGAAGCTGATGGGCTCCAGTTGTCTCCTCTGTCCAGAGGACAGAGAAGACAGTCTGTTTTCTGATCTGTGTCCTCGGTCGTCTTCCATCAAGTCCACTCTGTCTCAGACTGATGGTGAGGTCTGACCCTGATGACCTTTGACCTCTGATCTCTTTGAACATCTGGACTCTGGTCACTGTTGGTTTCATCTGCTTCTCCAGTTTGTCTTCTTGTGGACGTGTCCCAGCTGATGGGGCCATATTAAAGGAAGCTGCACGACCATATATGGAGTGATGACACCCTGAGCTTTGACAGAAAACGAGCGTTGTAACGGGACGGAGGATTGGACCGGCTCCGTTCTCCCTCATTGACTGAAGCTACAGGACATGTGGACCGGGTCGATGTCCCTGAGGTCCAATAACTTTGTCTTTAGGAACCGTCCTGTCAAGAAATTAATTCTGTTGAACCCAAATGTATTAATTTTCGGTCGGTTTTAGTTCGAGTCCGTCGGTGGACTGTTTGTTTTTCTTCAACACGACAGAACCAACGGGTCGGTCTGACTCAGAACCTCGTTCAGGTTCTGTTTTAAACTGGTTGTGGACCACAACACCAGAACCTTCTGCAGCAACAACTTTAAGTTTTCTGCTCAGCTCTTTCATTTGTTCTGGTTCTGATCGGGGGGTTCTGTTTAGCAGCAGGATTGTAGCATCAACAGGCAGCTTTGATCTTCTGTCTTTATTTCAGCATCAGAACCATAAGAAGCTTTTTTTCTTTTTAAGGTTTATTTTGTTGCGTTGGTTCGTCAGCGCTGGGTGACCAGAACCAGAACCAGAACCGGGTGTTTTCTCCTCTCTGCTGTTTTAAGTTTTTCAACTCGTTGCTTCAGCTCAGCAGAGAGGAGGTCCAACGGGTCGGAGGTTCTAGACGCTCCTCCGTCATTCCAACATGGCCGCCTTCATCCCACCGGTCAGACGCAAAAACAGCTCGTTGTTTACAAATAAACAAATGTTTGTTTCGGAGGAGCTGATGCATCGATTTTCAGGATTGAAGCAAAACCAAAAAAATGTGTGTAGAGGCAGGTGTGTGTGTGTGTGGCTGCGAGCGTGTGTGTGTGTGTGTCACTGTCAGTGAG